CCCCAAAACCCCAAAACCCCAAAACCCCAAAACCCCTTAATTCATTTTCATAATTGAGTTTAGTGGCAATGGAACCCTTTCGAATAGCAATCCTGCGAGAGTGAATAATATAGACACTTGGAGAGTGAGCATGTACAAATCAACAGCAGCTCACCCTCCAGTTTCCTCTCGAAAAGCCAGATATCTTTTTCTGACTACATCTATGAGGCACATAGTGGCTTCCTTTCTTGGGCTTATTATTAAACTAGACACATCACCTAAGAATTCATGGTGAGGAACCTCCACTAACGAATCCTTCATTAGCGATGGATTGACTATCTTCATAGGGAGAGCGAATATTTTGGCTCAGCCAAGTCATCTTGGACATGCTAAAATCCCTCAAAAGAGGGATATAAGATATATCTAAACATTTTGAGTCCGAAGAGTTGTTCGTGGCCTCCTTCCTGATTCTAGGACGATCGTAGGCACTTCCCAAGATTAAAGAAGCTAGCTTTTTAAATATTTTAACAGGAATTTTTAGGCGATTTAAGCACTATTTTGTGAATTATTATCAGTTAAATCCAGCAGATTCTCTTCTTGTACAACTGGTAAAGCCTCTTCGTCTTCCGATCTCTTAGAGTCTTCTTGAGCCTGTAGGCTGTTGTCTTGAATGCCTTCTTCTTGATATTGAAGGTCAATCTCTTCTTTAATGTTAGTTCTACAAATAGGGCAGCATATCATCTGATGCTTGGCTTTGAGAATCCAGCCTTCGATGCATTCTTCATGGAATATGTGGGAACATTTTGGGAGGACTTTGATGTACTTTTCTTCTTCGAATTCTCCTCAGCAGATAGTTCAGGTTTCGTATTCACCATGCTTCTCTTTGTTGAAGGGTAAGCTGGTGATCTTTGTGAACAGGATGATCCTGTTCTCCTCAGTATCATCAGGGTCTCTGTCACCATCAATGTTGAGCATTGTGCGGACCATATTGATGTTCTCTAGTGCTCTTTGGCCAAACTGGCCAAGAGCTCTGCGAACATTTCTGATCTCGATCCTTTGAATCTCGTCAAGCTCTTGAGGGCTAATTCCAGCAGCTTCGAGTTCTTGTCGAGTCTCTCTGTAGCCTTCCCTTACTGCGAAGACGTTGTTGAACACTTGGTCTTCTTGCTCCATTCTTCTTCTGATGGCTTTATGAATCCTCGTGTAAGCCAGCCAAAGGCACATAAGTCTAAAGACGTTGACTAGGTTCAGAATGAGGCTGATCACAGGCACAGGGTAGGTCACTAACACATTGAACAAAGACAGGAGGGGAGCGCCAGTGAGTTCCACGATCAAAATGTTGGTCCATGCCAATACTCAGCTAAAGAAGAGGAGGAAGCTGGAGATCCGGATCCTGATTGAGATCCAGAAGAAAGTATCGGTGGGATCTCACCACCAAATCCACCATGTTCTGATGCCATAGAGCATCATTGAGATGATGAATGTCATCAGGAAGCTCAGTGGCTCTATCATCCAATAAGCAATGAGGATCATGGCCTGAATGAAGGCAGTTGAGTAGTTCATAAATCTTTTAAGTCTAGTGTTAACGAACCATAATCCGAACATTCTCTGCGATACCTGTACTTCTTCTTGGGGAGGAAGCTCCATTATCTTTAATCACAAATATTTTATTAAAAAAATCAGCATTTTTCTTATGAATTGGGGTTTTGGGGTTTTGGGGTTTTGGGGTTTTGGGGTTTTGGGGTTTTGGGGTTTTGGGG